GTTTCCCGGTTTAAGAATATGGGTTTTAGGGAAGTTGAGGTTGAAGATTATTGCTGCTGGGATTAGGGTGTTCCTGCGGCTTGTTGAGTTCTCGTGAGATTAAAATGGGATTTGGAAAAAGCCTCGTGGAGTAGGATTTGGGATCGGACATATTGGGATTGCCCCTGAACRTGTGTGGAGGCTGGTGTGAGATCGGGAATAAAGAATTGCTGTTTGAACCTACAAAGCTGTGGTGCCTCCTGATTCTGGTGCCCCCCAAGACATCRGCAGATGTGTGCCATTAGGCTTTGCAATACTGAACACCTGTTTCCAAATCCATTTTTTAAATTTTTAGGCGTTGAGGTTGGACCCAGAGTCTCTTTACAAGCCTAGTTCTTTTCCTTTTTATAAGACAAGGTTTCTCTAAATTGCTGAGGCTGGCATTAAAACTTGTGATTCTCTCACCTTGGCCTCAGATTACAAGCATGTTTTCCAAATCTATAATGTGGAGACATAAAGAACATATTTGTTCAGAAGGCATTTAAGGTTTTTGCAGGTTTCATGGAGGGAGATATTCTTGCTCCACGGTGACAATCATCATCATGGAGGACATAGAGATGGTGAGCAGGTACATTCAAGACCCATCAAAGAACATAGTGATATTTTTGTTGGATTATAGATAGAAGAGGGGAGGAGTAAGTTGAATACTGGCTACTTGGGAGGCCGATAGAATTCCAAATTCCAGGGCAGCCTGGGCACTTTAGCTAGATAGTCTCAAAGCAGGTCTGGGAATACTGATCAGGAGAGGGTTTGCCTAATGTGTGGGAGGACCTGTGTTAAATCTCCACTACCCTGCAAAAGGAAAAAGGCGCGGGAAATGCTGAATGTTCCTTTGCTATGCTTGAAACACAACTCAGTAAACTTTAGTTAATATTAAGGTAGTGAATTAAGATGAAATATTAGGTGGGAAAGCAGGGCCTTGTTTCACCAGAGCCAATAGTAAGGTTTTAAACAGTTCTTAGGTTTTTGTTTAGACCTCAAGAGCAGTTTTTGTGCCCAGAAGAGGTTTTTCTCCTGATCCACCTTCCAATCATCTTTCTTGGATTTTACGCTTCTTTATCTATTAAAATATGTACTTTAGGGGACTGGGGTTGTGGCTCAGTGGCAGAGCGCTCCCTTAGCTCATTTGAGGCCCTGGGTTCGATCCTCAGCACCACACAAAAATAAAGGTATTTTGTCAAACAACTAAAAAATAAACATTGAAGAAAAAAATATGTATTTTAGCCAGGTGTGGTGACACACGCACACCTGGAATTCCAGTGGCTTGGAAGACTGAGAAGGAGAATCACAAGTTCAAGGCCAGCCTCAGCCAACTCATCAAGACCTTGTCTCAAAAAATAAATAGGGGGCTTGGGTTTGTGGCTCAGTGGTAGAACGCTTGCCTAGCCATGTGTGARGCACTAGGTTTGATTCTCAGCACAGCATATAAATAAATATAAGGGCTGGGGATGTGGCTCAGTGGTTGAGCACCCCTGGATTCACTCCCCGGTACCAAAAATAAATTAATTTTAAGGAGGGAGGGGCAGCTGGGTTGGGGATATAGCTCAGGGGCTAAACACCACTGGGTTAGATCCCAGAACCAAAATAAGTCTTTTAGCTGGTGCCTATAATCTCCACAAAGGGATGCAGAGGCAGGAGGATCACAGGGTTTGAGACCCTCTCTCAAAATAAATGGTTTCAGGGGCTGGGATTGTGGCTCAGCGGTAAAGCGCTAGCTTAGCATGTGCAGGCCCTGAATTCGATCCTCAGCACCACATAAACGGAACAGAATAAAGGTATTGTGTCCAACTACAACTAAAAAAAAAGTTTCAACTTATGACCCCGCCTTAGCTTTCTGAGTTCCAGGAATGTTCCACCATGCTGAGCAAAAATGCTAACATGGTAGGCTGAGGAGAAAGAAATCTCCAGCAATGCAGAAATTACATGGAATCAAAATCTTAAAATTTTGCAAAGGGGGTAAGCAATTATTACAGTTCAAAAGATGACAGACATATTAACTGATTATATGTATTTCTGAAATTTTTTAGTTGTTAATGGACTTTTGTTTATATGTGGTGCTGAGAATTGAACCCAGTGCCTCACACGTTAGGCAAGTGCTCTACCACTGAGCCACAACCCCAGCCCACTAACCTATTCTTATATAATCTGCTCCCAGAAACCTCTATGAATACAACTTTAAGGYTTCTAGATCATCCATTTGTCCAAGTTGTAAACCTGGCTGTAAGTAAACTCAGCATGCATAAGGGACTAACTATGATCCTCAGCATGATCATAATCAAACCCTTACAACACAGGTCCAAACAGGAAAGGGTACAGTATCTTTAAAATTCCCCAACACAGCTTCCATTGGGCCTGCACATGATATCTCTATGTCCACTGAGACCCAGTAAGAAACAATAGCCCTACTATAGAAATGTACAGTCCACACAGCTTAATAGGCTGGGCCTTCAGGGAGATAWGAGGCCAAAGGGAACTCCACAGTGGGATGAACCTGGGTCAGGATAGAAGGTGAGATGAGGGGCTCCACATTATCAATAGGAAAAAAGCCAAATTTCAGACAACATGAACACAGGACATAGAACAATAAACACCTTTATTACACGAGCTAAGACAGAAGGGAGAAGGACTTATTTGCCCTTCCGAGCTTTGATTTTCCTCAGATAGAACTCCAACTCCTTGCCTTCTAGAACATAGCCATCTGCTCGGCCACACTGTCCTGGTCTTGATGCAATGCAAGCTGTAAGAGATTATGTGGCCCTTAGTGAATGACAAGAAGCCCCACCCACCTACATATATCCTCTGAAAAGATCCACGTTGTCTGGAATCCTGGGGGCAGGCATGAAGCCCACTGTCTCTTCAGATACATTTTATCATCACTTCAAGTCAGTAGCAGAACTGGACAAAGTTTTCATCACTGAGACAGCCCCCTCAATGCCTGGGCTTCCCAAAATACTCCTGAAACTAGAAGCCAAGCTGCAAGGATATGTGGATATACCCTTCCTAYCCACAATTTTACATTTCACCTTCACACTAAGGTCCAATTATCATTAAACTCCCCTGATGAACCTTTCAGATAAACATGCCTGGCAGTCAAATCAACAGAGGGCACAATGCATCTTTGTGACTCCCATTTCCCCAATACAACAGCCATCTCACCAAGAAGCTTGCCCTGCTGGAACTGCTCCTCAAGAAGAGTGCTGATTTTTGCATTCTTCTTCCTTTCATCATACTTCTTTTGAATTTTCTTAGACCGCTTTTTGTTTAATATTTCTTCCTCCTCAGGAGTCTGAATAAAAGGACACATATGGATTAGCTCAGGAAAGTCATCAGAACCTTCTTCAGCCCAATACCTGCCCTCCTCAGCATTAAAGGCATTCATCTCTTTCCCTTCAGCAGCAGAACTGGACAGAGTTTTCATCACAAGAAGGCTCAAGTCAGGCAGCCCTCCCCCTAACCCACACAGGGAGTGGCACGTACCAGCTTGGCCCCCTTCTTGCGGCCCAGGGGCAATGCATAGTGGGACTCGTACCACTGTCGGTATGGTGTGCTATCAATGAGCACAATGCAGTTCTTCACCAGGGTCTTGGTGCGGACTAGCTCATTATTGGATGCATTGTAGACAACATCAATGATCCTTGTTTTCCGAGTACAACCTGCTCACAAGAGAAATTCAGAATCAAGCCATATAAACCAAGGGCCAATTGGCCTTCCCTTCCCAAGTAGGCACAGAAGGAGGGAACTCTACTTCACTCAGCCATGTTCATCAGCTCCTTTTCCACAATCCCATCTTTTCCTAGAGATGTTTGACAACCACCCTCTAAAGATCAGCTCCAATCCCTCAGGATATAGGCAGAATAATCGAGATAGAAAAAACTCTCTTGCTACCTCAAGGTCTTTCAGCAAAGAGGAACTTCCAAGTGCTTTGCTCCAGAGTATGCAGTTCTCTTCTAAAAACACTTACAAAAGCTTAGCCAGGCTTAGGTGTTAAGTTTCCACCCACTTCTGAAGGGCCCCACTCACACTCAGAGCCCCAGGAGAAGTTCCCCACATCCAGCCTCAAAGCACGATACTTCTTGTTGCCTCCTCGAACTCTGACAGTGTGTATCCGACGCGGTCCAATCTGCAGAATACAAGGAGACAAGAACTAGGTTATCAAGGAAAGCAAGACAAGCAAGGGAGGGGAACCTGGGCTCAAAGGAGGTAACTGTCAGTGTAACTATGACAAGTCCTTCCACTGGCAAGTGGCACACAGGTGACCAATACGGCCACAACCACGCCTAAGGATACTTTTTTCATCATTCTAGTTACCTCCTAAGAAAAAAACCTGAGACCCAACAACACAAGAAATGCCCACCCTTCCCGGAACTGATCAAGTCGCTGCAGGCAACTGTCTCTATCAGACAGTAAACTCGGGGGACCAAGTCCATAGACCATGCGTTAATTTAGCATTTATTCAACATATAAAGGTAGGGAGGCCGCGCAGTCCCTAACATCAGAACCCAAGAAAACCCACCACCACACAGACCCGAGTACATAACACAGTAGAGAGAAGCGACCTTTCAGGCAATAAGGCCCAAGCACGCACCTACCTTAGTGTTGGCAGCAGGGCGTCCCAACTCATACTTCCGCTTCTTGTGGTAGGGCTTTCTCTTGCCCCCAGTCTTGCGGCGCTTGTGCCAGTTATCCCGAGAGATGCCTGTATGTGGAAACGGGGACGGAAGCTTGAACGGCTGGGGCTCGGTGCCGGTGACTCGCACGCTCCAGACCTCCCGCGCCCGGCGGGCCGCACGCTCAGCTCTCCAAGGTTGGCTTCCCCACTGCTTAGTCGGCAATATGCAGCATTACCAAAGTGTCATCATACACGTGCGGCCCAGCCATTGCTCTTTCCCGCGGCAGCCATTTGATGCCGCTTGTACTCTGGCTCCTCCGTAGTACCCCCACCAAGCCCCCGGGACTCTAAAACCAACAGGCCACCCCCTTCACGGCTGATTGTGACCGGAGATTGGGGCGCCTCCAGTTCCAAACTCGCCGTGGGGCAGGATGGCGCTGGATTGAGATCACCCCGGTCCTCAGCCCCAACTCAGAGAAACACTCACCCATGGCTCGGCGCCGGCTGGAAAGAGGAAACGCAAAGCTTCACGGTCCAGTTTGTGAGACCCTGCCCCGCCTCCTTTACGTCGCTTCCGGGCGACGTGACTTACGCCTGTGCGAGTCTAGCCAATGSCTTAACTCCGTCGACCCAGTGCTCTTGGCCGCCTGTAGGCAGACTCGGGGAACGTTCCCCGGGCAGTTTCGGTAGATATGGAGGAGTTTAGGGCACTACTGAGCATGATTCTAATTCTGTTTTATTTTCTTTGGTGCCAGGGATTTAATTTAGAACCACTGAACCACTCCTCAGCCCTTTTCACATTTTATTTTTAAAAACGTAAGACAGATCGTTAAGTTGCTTAGGGCCTAGCTCAGTTGCTGAGGCTGATGGCTTTGAACTCGCGATCCCCCTGCCTTAGCTTTCCGAGCCGCTGGGATTACAGGCGGACGCTGTATTTACGTTTTTGAAAGATTAGTTTCAGAAGGTACTCCAGTGGTCTAGAATGGATGGTACTGATGAGGCGGCGTTGGAAAAGGCTGGAAGGCAGTGGAGACGGTAGACTTCGGTTTTGTTTCCAAGGGTTTGGTGATAGGTACATGGGGGTGAAGGAGAGGGAGTCAGCAAAAAATTCTTTTAGTATCTCTTTTGTTCAATTTGATGAATATTGGTGTCATTTAACAACACAGGGTAGGCTAAGTTAGCTGTTCTGGACGTGTTCATTTTTGAGATCTGAATGAATCATAAATGGCAATGACAGGTAAGCTGAATATTCATGTCTGGTCATCCTTATAGAAGAGATATAGATAGAAGGTGTTATTTCTGGTGCCACTTAATTACACTAAAATTCTAAATCACCAATTGAATCTAATCTGACCTCCAGAGACATAGGAAGATAGATAATAGCCAAGTTTCCCTAACAGGCCAGTTTCAAATAGGCCCAGTGAAGTTCCCTTTGGTTTAATCCTTACCAAAAAATAACCTGGTGTTAACCAATCAATTATTTTTCTATGATTCTGTCAGTCCTTTTCTGCCTATAGCACCAACTTCTTCTGCTCAGCTCATTGGAACACATTCTATTTTAGAGAATGAAGTGTTGCTCAATTCTAGAACTTCAAATAGAGCTAATTAAGGTCTTTACATTTGCTATTATTTTGTCTTTTGACACATGAAATACTGTGCTTTTGGGTTTTTTTTTTTTTTTTTGAAACGTTTAAAAATATAAAAGCCATTCTTAGCTCATGGGCCTTGTCAATGAAAAGTGGTTTGCCAACCCCTAGCATTAAGAAATTGACAGCTTGGGCTGGGGATGTGGCTCAAGCGGTAGTGCGCTCGCCTGGCATGCGTGCGGCCCGGGTTCGATCCTCAGCACCACATACCAACAAAGATGTTGTGTCCGCCGAGAACTAAAAAATAAATATTAAAAATTCTCTCTCTCTCTCTCTCTCTCTCTCTCTCTCTCTCCCCACAAAAAAAAAAAAAAAAAAAAAAAAAAAAAAAAAAAAAAAAAAAAAAAAAAAAAAAAAAAAAAAAAAAAATTGACAGCTGGGTATGGTGGCACACACCTGTAATCCCAGGACTCAGGAGGCTGAGCCAGAAGAATCATAAGTTTCAAGCCAGCCTCAGCATTTTAGTAAATCCCTAAGTAATTTGGCAAGACAAAGATGTGGTGTCTGCTGAGAACTAAAAAATAAATATTAAAAAAAAATTTTAAAAAAGAAAAAGGGTTTGAGATTGAACCCAGTGGTCAAGTGCCCTGGGTTTAATCCCCAATACTGAAAGAAAAAAAAAAAAAGGTGACTGCCAGGCACAGAGGCTCTCACCTGTAATCCCAGCTATTCAGGAGGCTGAGTCAGGAGGATCAAAAGTTTGAGGACAGCTGGACAACATAGCAAAACTCTGTCTCAAACTTAAAAAGGTCTTGGGGTCGGGGATGTAGCTCAGTAGTAGAGAAGTGCCTCATGCGTGCTGGACAAGCACTCTGCCACGGAGTTGCAGCTCTAGCCCCTTGATTGATTTTTATCAAAAACTATAAAGAGAATGGGAAGTTGAGAAATAAACAGTATGTAGACAATTATTTGAGAAGAATAACTTCAGAGGGGAAGATAAATTATATAGTGACTACAGAGGAAGAATGCAGAGGGGACGTTTATTTTTTATTTTATTTTTTTTTAGTTGTTGATGGACCTTTATTTGCTTATTTATATGTGGTGCTGGGAATTGAACACATTGCCTCACATTTACAAGACAAGCATTCTACCACTGAGCTACAACTCCAGCTGCAGAGGGGAAGTTTTTTAAGGGAGTAAACTGATGTATAGGTCCAACTACACTAAACTCCAGATTCTATCTCATTCCTYGGCAAGCACTCTACCACTGAGCCACATCCCCAGCCCTATCTCTCTCTTTTGGAAGAGATTCAACATTATCCCTTCTTTATCTTCAGTTTCCACTAGGTTTACAGTATATTCAGAATAAGATCAATATTTCTTACCATGGCCTAGAAAACTCTGGGAGTATCAGGCCTCTGCTTATCTCTTCAACTGGTCATTTCCTACCATTCCTCTTACTCCAGGCATACTTACCTTGCTGCTCCTGTTTTCAGGCCTTAATGCTCTGACAGGAAAAGCTCTTCTCCCAAAGGAGGAATTTCTTTCTTTCTTTCTTTCTTTTTTAAAGAGAGAGAATTTTATTTATTTATTTATTTATTTATTTATTTATAGTTCTCGACGGACACAACATCTTTGTTTGTATGTGGTGCTGAGGATTGAACCTGGGCCGCATGCATGCCAGGCGAGCGCGCTACATTCCCAGCCCGAGAGAGAATTTTTTAATATTTATTTTTTAGTTTTCGGTGGACACAACGTCCTTATTTTACTTTTATGTGGTGCTTAGGATCGAACCTGGCGCCCTGCGCATGCCAGAGGAGTGCGCTACCGCTTCAGCCACATCCCCAGCCCCCTGGGAGGAATTTCTGAGCCTGCTTCCCCCTCCTTAGTACTGGGGATTGAACCCAGGGGACTCTACCATAGAGCTACATCTTTTATTTATTTATTAATTAATTTATTAATAATTTCCATTATTTAAGTTTTTTTCACAATACCTTTATTCTATTTATTTTATTTTTATGTGGTGCTGAGGATCAAACCCAGGGCCTCACACGTGCTATGCAAGCACTCTACCACTGAGCTATAGCCCCAGCCTTCCTTTTATTTTTTGAGACAGGGTCTTGCTAAACTGTTGAGGTTGGCCTTGAACTCGCAGTCTTCCTGCCTTAGCCTCTCAGGAAGCTGAGATTACAGGTGTGCATCAACCTGCATTCCTGTGACTGGCCTGAGTCTGATTCCAAAAGTAGCAACACTCATCTTTCTCTACCCATTTAATACTGCCTCTAACATTTTTCATGCTTATTATCTGTCTTCACCAAAATACACATGAGGGTAGAAACTAAATTCTAAAACATAGAATAGTGTCTATCATTTAGTAAACACTCAATATTAATATCTAAATGACACAAATATTTGAGCAATCTGTTGTTCTACTTACACTGTGTTCACCCAGTTTTCCTATTAGATTTTGAAATACACCTTATTAATGCAATAAGTGGAAAAAACAATCACTTTGAAACAGAAAAAACACTTAACAAAATCCAGTACACTGCTGGRTGCAGTGGTTTATCCCTATAATCCCAGTAGTTCAGAAGAAAGGTGGGAAAATTGCAAGTTATAGGCCAGCCTTGGGATTTTAATGAGACCCTGTCTTAAATTAAAAAAGGGTGGTGGTGGCTGGAAATGTAGTTCAGCAGCAAAGCATCACTGGGTCCAATCCACAGTACTGCCAAAAAAAGAAAAAGAAATGCAATATGCTTTAGTTATAAAAACATTCAATAAACTAGAAATAGAAATTTTGGATGGGGCAAAGGGGAGGGGGATAGGAAAGATTGTGAAATGAGATGGATATCATACCTAGGTACATGTATGATTGCATGAATGGTGTGACCCTACTTTGGGTGCAACCAGAGAAGTAAAAAATTGTGCTCCATTTGTGTTCAATGAATAGAAGAGTATTCTGCTTTTATGTATAACTAATTAGAATAAACAAAAAAAGGGAAAAAAAGACATAGTGTATTATTTTGGTTAGGAAATAAAGTATTGAAAACAATGTAAAAACAACTAGAAATAGAATTGAACTTCCTTGACCTGATAGACTGTCTACAGGTGGGTGTGGTGGTGCACGCCTGTAATCCTAGTACCCTAGGAGGTTGAGGCAGGAGGATCATGAGTTCAAAGCTAATCTCAGCAACCTAATGAGACCTTGTCTCAAAATAAAAAGGTCTGGGATTGTGGCTCAGTGGTTAAAGTGTCCCTGGGTTCAATCCCTGGTACCCCTGGCCCCAAAAAAGTATATAGTGATTCCCCAACTCTCAATACTAAAAACTACTGAATTGTACATTTTACATATTATGGTATATAAATTGTATCACAATAAAGTCATTTCTTTCACCCAGGATTCAACCCAGGAGCATTTTTACCAAACTAAGTTGCCAGCCCTTTTAATAGTTTGAGACAAGGTCTTGCTAAAATTGCTGATGCTGGCCATGCACTTGTGATTTTCCTGCCATGGCCTCCCAAGTCATTGGATTACAGGTGTGTGCCACAGCATCTGGCTAGCTTTTTTCAAGGCCACAGAGTGCCATTTCTGTTAAGCTTGTGATTAGCCAAATTTTTAAATCCAGAAAGCCAGAATGTGACACTTCAAATGTATAGGATTCTCTTACTACAAAGTAGAAAATGCCCCTATTTTTCAATCAAAGGGAGGGATTGAGAATACAGCTTAGTGGTAGAGTACTTGTCTTGCAACATGAAGCTCTGGGTTGGATCCTTGGCACTGCAAAAACAAACAAAAAACCCAGGTTGAGGGCTAAGACCAGGTCCAGCCAACCTTATCATTCTCTGCTTTTTGTAGCAGCCTGCATAGCAATTGCTGCTTGCCATTCTCATACTGAGAGAATCCTAACCACATAAATGTGGTTCCTGGGTTTAAAACCCTTCTTTGTGGATACCTCATTATTATTTAGTTAGTTCATACTCCATGACACAGAATCTGGTCCTTCATTTTGCAAACTACTCATGGCCTATGCTTGGACTCTCAGTCCAACTTCTCAATTTTCCAGGACCAAACTGGTGTTGCCTTTCAGATCTTTTTCTGTCTAGTAAGTTTTTTTTTTTTTTTTTTTTTTTTTTTTTAACCAGGGATTGAACCAGAGGCTCTTAATCCCTGAGCCCTTTTTCAAACAGGGTATTGCTAAATTGTTATGGCTTTAACATGTTGTTGAATGGCTTTGAACTTGCAGTCCTCCTGCATCAGCTTCCCAGAGCTGCTGGGATTATAGGTGTGCATCACTATGCCAAGCTCAAGTGTTTTCTTGTGAGGGTTCCCAGACTCTTAAAGTGACTTGAGCAGACCATAGCAGAATACTATCTCCTGGGCTGGGGATGTGGCTCAAGCGGTAGCGCGCTCGCCAGGCATGCGTGCGGCCCGGGTTCGATCCTCAGCACCACATACCAACAAAGATGTTGTGTCCGCCGAGAACTAAAAAATAAATATTAAAAATTCTCTTTCTCTCTCTCCTCTCTCTTTAAAAAAAAAAAAAAAAAAGAATACTATCTCCTTTCTACTTATAATTCCTGTCCCTTATAGTATACTGGAGCCTACTATAAATAGGCTACAAATAAGGTAGAGGTTGGAATCTTCCACATGTTACTGATACTAGATGTGGATTGACCTTTTTTTTGGGTACCAAGGATTGAACTCAGTGGCACTCGACCACTGAGCCCCATCCCCAGCCCTATTTTTATTTTGTATTTTATTTAGAGACAGGATCTCACTGAGTTGCTTAGCGATTCGCTTTTTGTTGAGGGTGGCTTTGAATTCATGATACTCCTCCTGCCTCAGCCTCCTGAGCCACTGGGATTACAAGCGTGTGCCACCACGCCTGGCTGGGTTGACCTCTTAAGAAAAGTACAGAATCAGCACTACCCAGAAGCCAAAGTTTGTGTGAAGTACTTGTTCCCAGAAGGCTCAGACATATCCCAGTCTTTTCCCACAAACTACTCAAGAGGCTGATTTAATTTCTTTTGCTTTATTTGCTTTATTGTTAGACACGATGTACAAACATAAAACAGAAAGAACAGCGATACTCTTGGGCCTAAAAAACTGCAAGGAAAGCAGAGATCCCTCCCAGAAACTTTTCTTAAAGTACAAGACATTTAAGTGCTCGGGCCAAGGGTGTGGAAGGCAGGCCAGAGCCAAGAAAGAAATGGACTAAGGCTCCTTTTCTCTCTCCTCAGAGCCAGAACAACCATGGGAAGCCTCCACCGGCAGCCAGTCCATGCAAGCAGGATGCTACCTCAGGAAAAACTACCAAGAAAGCACTTGATCTTGAGGGAGAGAAGGGCAATTTTACATGGTAACTAAAAGCACCTTTCTCCTGCTCCCAAATGAGGAAAAAGGAAAGTATAGTGCTTCCCACCCCAGCTGCCCTGGGCTGAATGCCCTCACACTTGGCATTGACCAAAACCTGCCCCAGCTCAGATCCTGACCAATTCACCAGGTGCTCAAAGTTGACTGGGGAGGGACAGGGAGGGGCAGAGTGGAGGCTGGGTGTGAAGACCAAACAGATCTTTATTTGCAGTTGTCACTGGGGCCGTTTCTTGCTGTTCATTTGTTTGCTAGCCTGCTCTTCCAGCTGCATGGCCAGGCGCAAAGCCTTGATGACATCTGGAAGGAAGGGGCAGTGGTGTATGAGGAATTAATGAGAATCTAAGAGGCCCCCATTCACTCAGGGCAGAGTTGACATCCCCTGCATTGCCCAGAAGCCAGCAGGTCACCACTGCCCAATGCACAGAAGGAGCTACACCCACCTTGAAAGGCTGAGAGGTGCTTGGCTTGCTGGGCCACAGCATATTCTGCTTTGTTCACAAAGGTCTCCAGATCATAGTCTGGTTGCTCAGATATCTCAGAGAGCTCAAGCCAGCCTGGTCCTTGCTGTAAAAACACAGGGAAGACCTTGTAGATTCAATAATGACCAAATACTTCAGCAAATTATTCCTGGGCCCCAAACATCTGCAATGCAGATGCCTGTGTAAGATGCCATACCTCTATCCATGGTCTATACACTGTCTCCTGACCCTTTTCCCTGGGAAAACCTTTCTTTAATAATAATTATATATATATATATATTTAGTTGTAGATGGGGACAATACCCTTATTTATTTACTTATTTATTTATGGTGCTAAGGATCAAACCCAGTGCCTCACACATGTTAGGCATGTGTTCTACTATTGAGCCAAACCCCAGCCCTGGAAAACCTTTTTTGAAGGAAGAGTGTGGAGGATTTGACCTAGAGGTGTTTTACCATTAAGCTACATCCCTCTGACCCTTTTTATTTTGAGACAGGGTCTAAATTGCTTAGGGCGTTGCTAAGTTGCTGAGGCTGGCTTTGAACTTGTGATTCTCCTGACTCAGCCTCCTGAATCACTGGGATTACAGGCATGTGCCAATAATACTCAGCCTTTAAAAAAAAAAAAAAAAAAACAGTCTTGGGATGAACCCAAGGCCTTGCACATGCTAGGCAAGCGCTATACCCTTGGCCACAGTGATATATCGAGAACTCTATGAGCAGCTAGATGTGGTGATACATGCCTATAATCCCAGTAATTTGGGAGGCTAATGGCAGGAGGATCACAAGTTTGAGGCCAGCCTGGGCAACTTAGTAAGACCCCCATCTCAGAATTTTAAAAAAAGTGTTGGGTATGTAGTTCAGTGGCAAAGCATCCTGGGTTCAATTCCTAATACCATATAAAATAGAGCAAAACTCTAGGACCACATCACCACTCTATTTAAATCCCTTCTAAAACCTCCACTGCCTTCATAATGAAGTACATGCCCAGGGTCCTGCTCACCTGTTCATAGCCTCAATCTCCCTCTATCATTTTTATTTTTTTAAGAGAGAGAATTTTTAAAAATATTTATTTTTTAGTTTTCAGTGGACACAACATCTTTATTTTATTTTTTTGTGGTGCTGAGGATCGAACCCATTGCCCTGCGCAAGCGTGCTACCACTTGAGCCACATCCCCAGCCCCCTCTATCATGTTTTGTTCTGACCACATTATTGTTAAAAGTGCTATGTCCTTTCAAACCTCAGTACCCCTGAACACTCTAGGAAGGTAGGACCTGCCTAAACCTTATCTTTCACAGTCCAGCCTCACAAGTGCTTCAAATTCTTGTTTCCACTCTGTATTCCTCAGAGAGACCCACTGTTAAGATACACTTTTGTGCCTTTCCCCAATAGCAGGGATCAGAACAGCAGTATCATCTGCCAGTTAACTCAATTCAATGTTAGGCACTATGCTGATGCCTTATAAGCATGTCACATAATCCTTAATGACACCATCCTGTCTTATCCATTTTAGGAATGAAGAAACTGAGGCTCAAGTAAGCAAGTGAGGCTAAATGACTTTCACAAAGAAATATCACTTTAGGGCATACTACCTGTATCTGATGTTTTAGGTCATGGTTTTAGTATAGGAACTGGAACATTCACTGAATAAGTAAGATCTCTGCATAAATGACTCTTTAAACCCTCATTCAGGAACATGGAGGAAGGAGACTAGCTGCAGCTAGGATAATGCAGGAAATTCTATAGTGTCAGGCTGGAAAAGAGGGTGGTGTGGTAATTAGCTACCCCAGGAGAACACTAGATAGGTAGAGATTTAGGAATGCCTCTTATAATCCCAACCTAAATTCCTGTGGGAACAGAACTCCAGTCACATTCCAGATGGATATGCGGTCTCTTCCTGTTCAGGGCCTGTTCCCACCTGAATAATCTCCTTGAGCTCTTCCATGGCCCTCTCCTCCAGCTCCCTGATCTGTGTCATGGCTTCATTAAAGCTGGACATCTGGGAAGATAGTTCCTCCTCTTCTTTGGAGAACTAATGAACCAAAATGAGAGAGACAACAGTATGCAGAGTGTGGCCAGTTTCCACTTCAGCAAGTCATGCTTCCCTCTTGCCTGGTCCCACCAGCCCCCTTACATTATTGCCTGTGATCAGCGGCCCATTAGAGCTGGCTTCCATCTCTTCTGTTTCCATTTGAGTTGGCTGCTCTCCACTGGGCCCACTGTGGGGACTCAGCTCCTTGACTCTGAGGAAATAAGAAGGTCTCAAATCCCATGGCAGTCCCTTACACTCATCACAGGAGTGCAGCACCACTTAGGCTGCAAACTGCCTTCAGTCAAGAAGAGGTGGCATAATCTGAAGCTGGACTGGACAAGACTCACACACTGCAGGGGATTGGGATGGATCTAGCACCTCCCACCTCCCACTAAGTCAGAGACAGGTATAGAGTAGAYACTGGGAGCCCCCAGTCTCCTCCTTTCTCATCAATGTTATTCCTTTCCCCATCCCACCTGGCTGTAGGTCCTCATACCTGTCAGCATATCTTAGTGTATTTAAAGTATATTCACAGGAGCTTATGCCTGGTGAGATCATAGCAATCTACAAAAGAGGAAAGGGTGGTTTAGAGATTCAGAATCACAGGGTGAAGGTGCAAGACAGCTTACTCCTGGAGTAAATGCCAGGAGACCTACGTGGTAARGTAGGAGGACTCATTTAGCATCCATGCTGTGCTAGGCAACTTGCCCCATTGGGCAAGTTAAACACTTGCAAATTAAGTTGCTTTAAAAATTGGTACCTGAGGGCTGGGGTTGTGGCTCAGTGATAGACTGCTTGCCTAGCATGTGTGAGGCACTGGGTTCGATTCTCAGCACCACATACAAATAAATGAATAAAATAAAGGTTCAACATCTTAAAAAAAAAAATGGCACCCTGCCTTTTTTTTTTTGGTAGCAGGGATTGAACCCAGTGCGCTTAACCACTGAGCCACATCCCTAGCCTTTTTACTTTTTATTTTGAGACAGGGCCTCATAGAGTTGCTTAGGACCTTGCTAAATTGCTGAGGCTAGATTTGAACTCGGAATCTTCCTGCCTCAGCCTCCATAGCCGCTGGGATTACAGATGTGTGCCACTCTGCCCAGGTCCAGGCTGGATCCTTTTGGGCTCAAGTGATTCTTGGCCACACTAGTAGCTGAGTAGCTGTGACTATAGGTTATTACCATGCTTGGCTTGGTTCTCTACTTTTAAAGGCACACCTAATTATCTTTTTTTTTTTTTGGTACCAGGGATTAAACCCAGGGTTGCTTAACCACTGAGTCACATTCCCAACCCTTTTTATTTTGAGACAGGGTCTTGCTAAATTGCTGAGGCTGGCTTTCAACTTGTGATCCTCCTGTCTCAGTCTCTTTAAGAGTTGCTGGAATTACAGACATGTACCACCACACCCAACTAACTATCTTTTGCTTTATTTATCCCCTCTACCAAGGTTACATTCCAAAGTGCTGTAGCTCCTATTGGAAATTTCAGCTCACCCAGGTTGTGGGATAATGCCTCAGGGAAGAGAGTTTAGAGCTTAGTCAAAGGGGTTGAGGGGTGGGTCAGTGATAGGCATGCTTGCCTAGCATGTCCAAGGCACTGGGGTATTGGGGGTTAAAAAAAAAGAGCTTAGTCAAAAAAGCCCTCCTTCCTCATGAAAAGGCAGGAGTGAGGATATTCCTTGGAGAGGAGAGATGACAGGCCTCACTTAGAAGGACTTGGGAGATAAAATAGGGAAGGGGATAACAAGTTAATAGAGACAATAGCTTCATGCTCCAGTCTATTTCCTAGACTGGGAGTCAATAAACTTGAAGGAAGCCCAGAAAGAGATGAGGGCTTCCCTCTCGTGCTTCCCCTTTAGTCTATCTTCTGAATTCTGGGCCTCTTTTCTCACTAGGTAAGGTAGGAATGACCTCTCCCAAAATCAAGACCTGTGTCTTTACACAGTAAAGGGAGTAGATCCTTTCTTCTCTGCCTGGGTGGGCAGTGAAGCTGTTGCTGAAAAGCAGGGTGTAGAAGCCCAGTGAAGAACATAGTGATGATCTGGGTTCAGAGGCACATATGTATTCAGGAGGTGGAGGCAGTATTGCAAATATGAGAATGGTCTCTCCTCAACTCAGTGATGACCTGCCTCAGATAAAAAAATAAACAAAATAAAGGCACTGAGTCCATCTACAACTAAAAATATTAAAAATAATAACAACAATAAAAATAAGGGGGGCTCAGTTGGTAGAGTGCTTGCCTTGCATGCATAAGGCCCTGGGTTCAATCCCCAGCACTGCAAAAAAAAAAAAAAAAAAAATTTAAAAATAAAAAAAATAAAAAAATAAAAATAAGGGCTGGGGATATAGATCACTGGTGGAACATTTGCTTAGAATGTGAGGCCCTGGGTGGTTCAATTGCCAGCACCACACTTGAACACAAACACAAAGGGCCTAGGAACACAGGCAGCCTGAGGTGCTGAGTAGGAAGCTCAGGGACAGTATTAAATGTTTCCTTGGAAAGCAACTGTCCTCTGCACCATCATGTCCAAAGTGGCATTACTCACCATGCAAGTCCTTGAATTCTCCCCGATAAAGGAGTCCCTCAGGACCTGTGTCAGCTTGCTCTCACGGAATGGGGTATGAGCCTTATTTTGTCCCAGGGCTCTGATGCACTCCTGTGGGACAGCAGGAACAACTGAGGCTCCTTCTTTCCTTTTGTGCTGCCCATTCCCTCCCATCCCAGCTGCACACCAGGTGAACCCCCTCTAGCTAGCCTCTGCTACCTTCAGGGCCAGGAGACTCTTGTTGATTTCAGCGCCTTCCATGCGGGTCTGCCGGTCAGCACTGGAAGTGTCTGCACCTCGCTCGTTTCCTGCCAGATCCACCAAAGAGAATTTGCCATGCACTCTCCCTTTGGCTCGAAGAATAATCTGGAAGCAGGCATGGGAGCGGGAGGAGTTGGAGTTGGCAAATGTCTGCCCAGAAGTCCTGTGGCAGAGGAGGGCAAAGAAAGGACATGAGCTTCTAGGGTCACAAGCTCCCAGGGCACCCCAGTCCACAACAGGAGAGATTCTAAGAAGTCCTGTGTCTGCCTGTTCTATACTTCCATTCTGCCCTCCCTAGACAGTAGTTCTCTCTCCATCTCTGAACCTGGGGATAAGAACCCAGGGAAGAATGAGCTGCCTCTGCTACAGGGCACACAAAGTGATGTCATGAACTACTTGTCTGAACTTGAGGGCCCTGCATAGGGCAACCCCTCCTTGGCCCTCCATAGCTACCCAGCAACCACTGCACCATGCCAGCACTTCTTTCCTTTTTGGGTATTGGGGCCTGAACAGGCACATTACCTCTGAGCTCCATCCTGTTTTTATTTTTTATTTTGAGACAAGGTCTCAATGAACTGCCCAGGCTGGCCTCAAACTTGCAATCCTCCCACCTCATTCTCATCCTCCGGAGTTGGTGGGATTACAGGATACAACACCACACCTAGCAGTGCTTCTCTATTTCTGTATGGAGGAGCTATGGGCCTTATTACTTCTAGCCCATAATAGATCCAGAGCTCCTTCCTGACTTCCACCAGAAAGGAAGGGAAAACAAGAATTTCATAGACGCCAGGAAGCTTGACTTGATTAAATTTAAGTTGTTTTGAACTGTTTTTGCTGAGTCTGTGGCCCTAAGTCATTTGTCCCATGGAGATCCTTTAAAATAGAGGCCTTCACAGCCCTTATCATGCTGGGGGAAAAAGTGCTATATGTGCTAAATGGCCTCACTCGAATCAGGCTTCAGAAGGTGGCCCTCTCCCCTTTCCAGAACTCTAACCTGCAGGCACTGCCTATGTCGATCATCTTGATAACATCTTCGGCTGAGTTAACCAGGTGCTCCTGTAGCCCCACCACCTGCACCTGTTGCTTGCCATCTTCCAGCACACGCAGCTTGGCCTTCTTATTGAGCAGGTCGAACAGCTGTGCCAGGCAGGGGAAATAAGGGTAAAGTCACAGGCACCAAATGCCCTGCCCAACTCTTTCCTAAAGTGTCTGCTCCAGCTTAGACAAGGGTTGGCAGCAGGAAAGGCAGAGAGCATACTAGCTGATAGGGTATCAGGCCAGCAGAGGGTAGTATGCTTGAGATCTGAACCAGTGTGCCTCAGTTTAATCCAACTCTGCTACTTTAGTAGCTGCATGAGGCTGGGCAAGTTAATGAATCATTCTACTGTCTCTACAGATGGAAGACAAGCTAGAGTGCATAGAATAGTGCTTAGCACATAATATCCTGTTAATGGTAAATAATAGCTATGTTTATTATCTAGGCACTGCTCTAGGGAAGGAAACTCTGCAAAAACAGGGGATGTAGAGAGGCAGAAAGAGATACATAGGGAGTGGGGAAATGAACATAAAAATGCAGTCAGGGGAAAAGGTTATAAAGGAAGTGTGTCAAGGGAAGAAAGGGCATATATAAGGCAAACCTTCCATCTAGAGGGAGCCCTGAGGAGTATTTCTGCTATAATTGTTGAGCTTGGCTACTATCTCATGATCAAATGAAACTTCCTACACAAGTCAAGCCAGAATGGCCCAAAGATATGACAGTTAACTAGTTTGTTTGTTGGCTTCTACCACTTCTAGCCAACTTCAAGGTTTTAGAAAATCAGGGACCCCAGCAGCATAAAAAGAGGGCTCCCTGCCAGCTACCTTCCCATTGTAGATCTCGAAGAATGTCACATAGACTTCCAGGCCCAGGTTCCGGTAGCGGGACTGATTCTTCAGGAGGAAGACGTCCCGGGCTGAGGGAGAGAGCCTGGATAAGTGAGCAACTTGCCTTTCTATACCCAACCCCGATGCAGCAGAACACACTACTTACAGGCCATGGCGTAGATCCCCTTGGATGCATTCTGAGCTTTACCAGACAGGTCTCCACCCATAGTCTGCAAAAAGAAGAGGTAGATGACTATGGTAAAGGCCTTTGGCCTTGGCCAGAGCAATACTGGCTCTATTGCCAAAAGAGGCCACACCAAAAACAGGAACTGGACCTGCTAAGGTACTACCTATATCTGGAATGGTGTGTGTGTGGTGCAGTGAGCATCTGCACTGAGGGGACTTTCTGCAAGAAACTAATTGTTTTCGTTTTCAGAGACTCAGTGCTGTACCATAGGAAGGCTCTCCCTTCTAGACCTGAATACTCACATGAGTCTTGCCACTTCCTGTCTGCCCATATGCAAAACAAGTTGCTTTTCCTCCTTCAAAAATTGTCTGTACCAGTGGCCTTGCTGTGAACCTAGGAGAAAGTATGGAGTAGAGGGAAGTGTTTGTATAATCACCTTGGTATCCAAGGGGGACTGGTTCCAAGACCTCCCTGCACCCACACAAATCAGCAGATACACACAAGTCCCTTACATAAAAATGATAGCATTTGCTTATAACTTACACACACCTTATGCTATACTTTAAATCATCTGTAGATTACTTATAATACCTAATATAAGGTTTTTTTTTTTAAAGAGAGAGTGAGAGAGGGAGAGCGAGAGAGAGAATTTTAATATTCATTTTTTTAGTTATTGGCGGACACAACATCTTTGTTTTGTATGTGGTGCTGAGGATTGAACCCGGGCCGCATGCATGTCAGGCAAGCGCGCTACCGCTTGAGCCACATCCCCAGCCCCTAATATAAGGTTTTTACTACATCGTTTAGGAAAGAATGACAAGAAAAAATTCTGTCTAGTAAAGACAATTTTGTTTCTCTAATATTTTCAATCTATAGTTGATTAAATCCACAGATGCAGAAACCAAGGTTATAGAGGGTTCTCAAAATGTGCTCTCTAAAAAAAAAAAAATCAGACAACAAACAAAAAAAATGTGCTCCCTAGAATACAGTCCTTCTTGTGCTCCCTAGAATACAGTCCTTCTACTGCAGAGCTCTGGGGTTCCTCAATTGCTTCTAAGCATTGTACTTCTCTCTTGCTTCAGTGGTCCAACCTGATCTCAATGCTACTACCAAATCTGTAATACTACCAACTAACTGGGAGGATAGGGTGACTATTAGACTGACCTGCCAGGAGCAAGCTGATGGCCCAACTCTAAGCCATCCAGCCTCTCCTATGACTCTAGACACCTAAGATAAAAACATGAGCTTAGCTGACAACCTGCAGCAAAAGACATAATACAAAGAGGAGAACACAGTGCATGTTTATAATCCCAGCTTCTCTGGAGGCTGAGACAGGAGGATCACAAATTCGAAGCCAGCAACTTAGCAAGACCCTGTCTCAAAATAAGCTGGGTGCAGTGGCACATGCCTGTAACCTCAGCAGCTCAGGAGGCTGGGACAGGAGGACTGAGGCCAATCTTGGAATTTAGTGAGGCCCCAAGCAACTTAGGAAGACTCTGTCTCAAAATAAAAAATATAAAGGATGTGGCTCAGTGGTTAAGTGTCTCTGGTACCTGGGTTTTGGTACCAAAAACAACCACAAAATAAAATAAAAAGGAGGCTGGAGCTATAGCTAAGTGGTAGAATGCATGCACGAGGCCCTATTTCAATCCTCAGTACTACCTCAATCCTCAGTACAACCCCCCAAAAAAAGTAAATAAATAAATAGGGCTTTGTGGTAGAGCACCCCTGGGGTCAATCTCCAGTACCCTCCCCAAAAAGGTGGAGTCATTAGTCAGATTTAGCCTATGGAACAAATGATTACTCTTTGCTCTAGAATGGTGCTGTCTCCAATGGAACTTCCTGTAATGATGGATATGTTCCCTATTTGTGCCATATAGCCTCTGCCACATGTGGCTACTGATCACATGAAATATGGATAGTGTAATTATACAACTAAATTTCTTATTTGGCTTTCATTAGATTTAATTGAGGCTACTGGATGTGTACTATACAGAGAATATCTGGAGTTATCTGAATCTGCTAAGCCCAGTGGGTAAAAAAGCAGCAGCCCTGGAGCCTGCCCAACCTAACCCCATTGTGTAATGGGTAATATCCCACTCATGATCTACTCAAGAATGGGCCACTCAAGTTGCAAAAGGGGATGTGGCAGACCCAAAATAGGGCCTTCCTATTGCCAGGAACCAGAGTTTGGAGGGCTGAACCAAAGAAAATACAGGAGGCCAGGTAGGGTCTCAGAAGTAACATGTCTGTGAGCATGTTACCACAATGTCCCACATCAAAAAGATTAAGTGGTGGGGGAAGAAGGGGTATAAGGATAAAAAAAGAGGCAAGGACTAACCTGTAGACAACTTCATTTGAAGCTGTTTCATCAAATGCAAAATCAAAGCAAAATGCTTGGTTCTCTAGATATTTTGTTAAGTCCACTTTTAATTTGGGTTCATGTACCAGGAGGAGACACTTGCTAGGAACGGAAATCACATCAATTTCTTTCTTGGCCAATTCTGTGGAAGGAAGAATATTTCAGGGGATAATCCCTGGATGCAAGAGACCCTCAGTCATTGAATCCTCTGACTTAGTAGTTTACCTTGTTTATTCAGAGGGCGTTTCCTCACACACACACAAATCCTGTGCTCTTCAATCTACAAGAAGATGAGGAGACAACCAAAGGGAAAAGGATCAGAGCAATATCAAAAGAAAGCTTGTCTACACTCTCTCCCCAGGTCCCAGCAGTAGACAATATCTAACATTAGGACATTAGCCTCTCCCATTAACCACTCTAGAGCACAAGGAGGTTGCACTGAATTTTATCAGTTTTCTTACTCTGCTGCCTGAAACAGGAGATTTCAACATTACTTTCATGAATGTTAGTAAGAGTCTAGCTATCTACAGTGTGGGGGTTGTGGCATAGTTTGTAAGATCAGGACCTCCCACCTAGGCCCCATTCCTCCAACATACCAAAGGGCATTTAAAAAACCAAAATGGGTTGGGGGTATGACACAGAGGTAGATTTTGTGCTTAGCATATGAGGCCTTGGGTATAATCCTTTGCATCAACAACAAAGAATAAAGGGTGAGTGAAGACTCCAGCATACTTTCAATTCTATAAAATCAAGTTTTCTGTCCCTTAATTGTATATCTACTCAGGAAAGAGAGGTAGGAGCTCTTTTGATTAACTTACAGGATCAGTCACATTAAGTGGATTACATTCCATAGTAGTCCGAAATTCTTTAATCATCCGGGCAAATTCCCAGTTTGGAAAGCTGTTGTCATACTCCTGTTTGAGATGAGGGTAAAAACAGATTGTTTTTTTTTTCCCCTCGCCCGCCCTCCCTCCCTCCCTCTGGCCCGCACTGCGCGCTGCGCGCTCCGTGCTTTGAAAAAACAGATTGTTAAGTGCTCTCAAACGTGGTCCTAAGGGGCAGCAACAATGGCTCTCTGTATCAACTTCACAGTTGGCAAAGACCCACCCTGGCTCTAAGCTGAGAAGTCAGGTACAGATGAATTAAGCAGAAATTGGCAGGGGAGCCTAGACCCATACCACCCTAGGAAGTAGGACAACGGCCACTATTCCACATCTTGGGAGACACAGCAGCAGATTAGGCTTCCCCAGAGCAATTAACCCAACTAAAGGGAATCCACTGCAGTCGTTCCCGCCTTGCAATACATTAAATTAGGGGGAGTGAAAAAAAGCCAGCAACTGTGCCCAGACACAACACCGCACTGGGTGAGCATTTCATGTGTTTCCCTATGGACAACTAGCATCAAGCACTGCTCATCTGAGAGCCTGAAGATAAACTTCTGAATTATGTATTTGTTCTCTGAATCCTGACGAGAAATCAATTAGATTCCTATGTATCAGGATTGGAGTTCATGAAACGTTGGAGCCACTCACTCTCTCTCTCTCTCGTCTATAGGGCTTCAGTAAAGGGTGCCTGTCCCAAAATTTGCCCAAGCCTCCCAAAAGAAAGGTACCTGGGCTCGCCTTATTCTCATTTCAGTGTTCTGCGCTCTCTTCTCTTCTCGCTTGTTCTTCATTTTTTCCATTTCCTTCACAAGACATGATTTTCTCCGAACTAGAGGGAGAAAAGGAACCCAATCTTTTACCTGTGTGGTCAGTCTGCTGAGACTTGTATCTTTCCCAGAAACAGGCCTTCTCTAGATCCTCACCCTTAAATCACTATATGCAAGAAGCAGTAACGGGTCTGACTCCTGAGATACAGAGCAGTGATAATAGCACTCAGTCTGATCCAAGCTCTCTCTATGACTCTGGTTATTTTCTCAACAATTAAAGAGGTAAGACAGCTCTGATTGGTCTTGAGTCACTCGGAGTGTTCAGGTTTTGGTCAACACCTTAGCTGTTAACACATCAATTACATCAGAAGGCTGCTGCCCAATCTTTCACCTCTAGTGAAAGAGTTCATAGCCACAGAAAAACATGCTTTCAAGATGACAAAAGGGTTTGAACTCAGGTGTCCAGGTAGGCCAGATTTGGGATAGATATTAATGATTTGTTCCACAATAGGAACAGAAGAGCAGACAGCTTAGCGTGTCTACCTGAGTTCACAGGGTTTGTAGAAGAGCTGCCTCGGATGGAGTGAACTTGCTCTTCCACCTCCTCGCTGACCATCGTCAATGGTATTTCCGCCACTGCAGGGCAGGAGGGCCTAGGGGGGCCCGCTGTGGGGGAACAAGAGTCACTGGAGAAGTAAGCAGGTACATGAAAGCTGTCTTCATTTGGACCCTAGTGGGTCATAGGCCAGGAGGAAGGATACTATACTGCCTGCCAGGTCAGCAAGGGCCCAAGCCTTTCCAGCATAAGCAGAACTTGGGCTTTTCCCTTCACCTTAGCTAACACCCTTATCCCAAGTCCCCTTTCTGCAGGGGCAGGACTCCGAGATCAAAATACCCTGAGGGTGCTGGGGATGTGGCTCAAGCAGTAGCGCGCTCACCTGCCATGCGTGCGGCCCGAGTTTGATCCTCAGCACCACATACCAACAAAGATATTGTATCCGCCAAAAACTAAAAAATAAATATTAAAAATTCTCTCTTAAAAAAAAAAAATACCCTGAGGTATACGGACTTTCCCATGAAGGGAAATACCTGGAGGCATGAACTCTGTAGACTTGCCCTAAGCATGTCTTCTCAGGCCAGGTTTTTCTACCCATTTGGGGTAGCAGGGAACTTGGGCAACAACTAAACACATGGATTCAATAAGGAAGGTTCAATCCATAATGCCCCATTACCTCCCCATATGTGGTCATGACCCTTTCACTTACCTTTATCCTATTAGCTAACTTCGATACATGTCAAGTGTAAGGATTATGTAGTTTAGAAAATCTGCATCTACTTTGCTTATCTATTAAAGGTTGATAAATACTTCACTTAAAAAATTATTTTAAAAATTCCACTTATGGGGGCTGGGATTGTGGCTCAGTGGTAAAGCGCTTGCCTAGCTTGGGCGGGACCCGGGTTCGATCCTCAGCACCACATAAAAATAAAAGGCATTGTGTTGTGTCCATCTACACCTAAAAAAAAATAAATATTAAAAAAAATTCCACTTATATAAAGTAAAAAAAAGAGAAAAGCTAATTTATGCTATTAGAAGTCAGGACTGTAGGTATCTGGGGGTTAGGAATTGAAGTCTGAAGATTTTTGGAGGGCTAGTAAATGCTCTGGTCTGGTGTTGAGTATGTTCAGTTTGAGAAAATTCATTGAAAATATATATATATATACACACACACACACACACACACCATACTTTATACACTGCATTGTGTGTACATACATATATATTTGTGCTTATGTATATGTATAGAAACACACACACACACACACACACATATTTTTTTTGTGTTGTTTTAACCGAGTTTTTTGTTTGTACTGGGGATTAAGCCCAGGGATGCCGAGTCATATTTCTAGCCCTTCTTAGTTTTTATTTTGAGACAGTATCTTGCTAAATTGCTTAGGGCCTTTCTAAATTGCTGAGTCTAACCTCAAACTTGCGATCCTCTTGCCTCATCCCCCTGATCCCCTAGGATTATAGGTGTGCGTCACCATGCCTGGCTTAACTGCATTTTTGTTTGTTTAGTATTTTTTGTGTTGTTGTCAATGGACTTTATTTTATTTATTCATATGTAGTGCTAAGAATCAAACACAGTGTCTCACACATGCTAGGCAAGTGCTCTACCACTGAGCCACAACCCCAGCCCTTAACTGTGTTTTTTAAAAAAGAGGTCATGCCAGGTATGGTGGCACATGCCTGTAGTCCCAGCAGCTTGGGAGGCTGAGGCAGGAGGATTGCAAGTTCAAAGCCAGCCTCGGCAACTTAGTGAGACCCTGCTCTAAATAAAAAATAAAAAGGGCTGGAGATGGGCTGGGGCTGGGGCTCAGCAGTAGAGCGCTTGCCTAGCACATGCGAGGTGCTGGGTTCAATCCTCAGCATCATATAAAAATAAATAAAATAAAGATACTGTGTTCCACTACAACTAAAAAAAGGGGGGGGGGCTGGGGATGCGACTCAGTGGTTAAGTACACCTGGGTTTAATCCCTAGTACCAAAAATAAAAAATAAAAGGGATCATGTCCAGATAAGGAAACAGTGTTAGTAAGGCTGAGGCAGAAGAGTACTGAATCCAGAATGGAAGAATTCTAGGATCTTCTAGCACAGGCACAATGTGTGCAGTCTGCTTCAGGGGTTCAAATGGGGATTTTTYTTTTTTTTTTACTCACTGGGAACTGAAAACTTGCGGGAGTTGGTAGATGCAGGTAGTTCAATCTCCATATCATTCTCCTGAGCGGTGATTCGAACCTCTGAGACAGTGGACATACGAGTAGAGTGGCTTCGAAGACCTAAAGACCCCAAGGTAACAGCCAATCAGTTCTGCAAGATCCAGAGGGCCAAAGGGGGCAAGAAGAGAGCAGATGGGCAAAGCTCCAAGATTCTACACTGGTGAGCTAAAACATACCTAGCAGAAAAGAAGCCCAGCTATTTCATATTCCTTCAACCCAAAGAAAGGAAATGTTAGATCAAAGTACCAGTGACCCCAAAACTTTACATTCTTGAAAATCTTGTAGTTCTGGAAGGCAAAAATCTCTTTCTTTTTTTTCTTTTTTTTWAAAGAGAGAGTGAGAGAGAGAGGGGGACAGAGAGAGAGAGAGAGGGAGAGAATTTTAATATTTATTTATTTTTTCTTAGTTCTTGGTGGACACAACATCTTTGTTTGTATGTGGTGCTGAGGATCGAACCCAGGCCTCACGCATGCTAGGCGAGCACGCTACCTTGAGCCACATCCCCAGCCCCCAAAAATCTCTTTCATAAGAGCATCTACCTTGGGTAAATGGATGAACTTATAGCAAATCTGAAATCATTCTGAAGAGACAGACCTTTTTCAATTCTTGAGAAAAAGGCAGACCTTTTTCAATTCTTATTAATTTTAGCAGCAGCAGTACCTACCAGTGTTCAATTTTCCTATATCTTCTAATATTCTCACATTATAAGTTAAGGCTGGGATACAGCTCAAGGCACAGTGTCTGTTTAGCATGCACAGGCCCTGGGTTCAATCCCCAACACCAACACCATGACTACAAAACACTATAAGGTAAATATTAAGATATCCATATCATGGGAGAGAATATTCAGGTTTAGAGACATTAAGTAACTTATAAACAAATCCATATAGTTCCCTCTGTAAGAAATACTTTATTACCTACAAAATTTATCAGGTTTGTCATAAATATAGTCATAAATTTGGAAAAAGAACACATGGGCTCATGTAAAAACTTATACTGAATTTCTGAGTGTCACAGGTTTAGACTGAAGGCTTTATGTATAAATGATTCCCAACTTATGATATTTGTTTTTGTTTTGTTTTGTTTTTGATTTTTTTGGTACTGGGGACTGAACCCAGGGGCGCTAAGCCACTGAGACATGTTCACAGACTTTTCTTATAGAGGGATTACAAGGCATGTGCTACTGCATCTGGCACAGATGTTGTTCTGAAATAATTTTTCAACTTTATAATGGTGTGAAAGTGATATACATTCATTAGAAACTGACTTTGAGGGGCTGGGGATGTGGCTCAAGCGGTAGCGCGCTCGCCTGGCATGYGTGCGGCCCGGGTTCGATCCTCAGCACCACATACAAAACAAAGATGTTGTGTCCGCCGAAGATTAAAGAATAAATATTAAAGTTTCTCTCTCTCTCTCTCTCTCTAAAAAAAAAAAAAGAAACTGACTTTGAGCCAGGCTGGTGCTCACACCTGTAATCCCAGGGACCTTGAAGGCTGAGGCAAGAAGATCCCAAGTTCAAGGTCAGCCTCAGCAGTTTAACAATACCCTAAGCAATTTAGTGAGACCCTATCTCAAAATTTGAAAGGGCTTGGGAATATAGCTAAGTGGTAAAGCACCCCTTGGTTCAATCTCCAATACAAAAAAAAAAAAAAAAAAAATTAAAAAAACTTTGAATTTTGATCTTTTCCCATGCTAGCCAAATTCTGTAAAATATGCTTTCCAGCAACAAGATGCTGATCCAAAGTAGCCATGAGATCACGAAGGCAATGTACTATATTCTACAATGTACTATGCTGCCAAGCTATGATGTTCTGTAGGTTAAGTGAATTAAATGCAATTTTTTTTTTCAATACTAGGGGTTGAACCCAGAGCCTAGTGCATCCTAGGCAAGCAACTGACCTCTGAGCTATCTCCCTATCCCTTATTTTTAAGACAGAGTCTTGTGAAATCGCCCAGGCTGTCTTCGAACTTTTAATCTTCCTGCCTCAGCTTCCTGAGTAGCTGGATCACGCTCAGTTTAAATACATATTTGTCTTAACTATAATATTATAAATATATAGCTAGGGATTGAACTCAGGGTCTCACATATGCTAAGACAAGCACCCCACAGCTGAGTACTTACAATATTTTCAGTTTACAATGGATGTATTAGGACATAACTCATTATATAAGTTTGTAAGTCAAGGAACATCTATACCCCATTTCTTTCAAAAAGAGCATGAACTATTAAAAGTTCCCTATTTCATAAATAATTTCCTTTTTCTTTTTTTCTTTCTTTATATTTTGGTACCAGGGATAGAACCTATAGACGCTTAACCACTGAGCAACATCTCTAGCTCTTTTTTATTTTTTGAGATAGGGCCTTGCTAAGTTGCTGAGGCTCACTTTGAACTTGTGATCCTCCTTCCTCACCCTCCTGAACCACCAGGATTACAAGTGCGTGCCACCATGTCTGGTCTCACAAATGATTTCTAATCTTATGTTTAATTTCTACTATTGACTAACATGCCTATTTATAAAGCTCTTAGTTTGTTTTTAAAGGAGGTGTGGGGTTGGAGGCATGTAGCTCAGTGGTAAAAAATATGTGCTTAGCATCTATAAAGTTCTGGGTTCAGCACCAAAACAAAAAAGGAGCTGTGCCAATAGCACTTGAGGACACACACATGGAATAGGACCACTGATTGCCATTCTCATCTCCCCTGCAGGCCCTATGGTACAATAGCAAGAGGGCCAGCACCATTGGATCCAGGCCCTGTCCAAAATTACAATGGCATCATCTTCCATTTTGGCCCTCATGCATCTGAAGCTTCAGCCAAGCATTCTCTGGGTCTTAAGATAGTTGGGGGGGCTGGGGTTGTGGCTCAGTGGTAGAACACTCGCCTAGCATGCATGAGGCACTAGATTCGGTCCTCAGAACCATATAAATATAAAGACATTGTGCCAACCTAAAACTAAAAAATAAATACTTAAAAAATAAAATGATAGTTGGATCATATCAGGGCAGTGATAATCTCTGTAGGACAGTTGTGCAGGTTCAATGACCTGCAAGGTACAGCTGGCTCTGAGTTAATGAGCTATATTTCTTAGGCAACTTGTGCCTAGATCAATCCCCTATAATCAGTTTACTGTTGCCAAAGTAGGGTTATGCTGACTATTTCTACAGAGAAAGTCCAACCTTTTCCAAAAATATGAGGCATTGCTATTTTCCCTTCTGGCCCCAATCTCTCATCTCCATAGCACTTTTTTTGTTTTTGGTACTAGGGATTGAACCATGGGGCACTTTATCACTTAGTTATATCCCTGACCTTTGCCTGACTCCATAGCACTGTTTCCTTTACCCCTCACCCACCCCCAGGCACAGTAAGAATTTATTCCTATCTCCTCCATAGCATTATTGACTGCACTTCCTTTTTTTCTTCTTCAGTACTGGGGCCCCTCATATGCTAGGCAAGCAGAATCACATCCTTAGCCTTTTTATTTTTTAATTTATTTATTATTATCATCACTTTTTTACAGTACTAGAGATTAAATCCAGGGCCATGAATGCACTAGGCAAGTGCTCTATTGAGCTATATCCTCAGCCCTTTTATTTTGAGACAGGTCTTGCTAAGTTGCCAAGGCTGACTTGGAACTTGCAGTTTCCTGAGTAGCTGGAATTATAGATGTGAGCCACTATATCTGGCTTAACTGCACTTCCAAACAACCCAGACCTTTTCTCAGAGCCTCATTCCAAGACACACTATTCCCCAGAGGAAGATGAGCCCTAACCCTAACCTTAACCCTTCCAGTGGCTGATTCCTACCATCCCCAGCACCAGGCTCTGGATTCTACAGAAAAGATATCTAAGCCAGTAAGTCTCGCCAGTTACCTGCACTGACGAGATGAACAAGTAAGTAAATTTTTCAGTTGCACCAGTCATTTACGGTTGGCTATAGATGGAAATCTTCCTCACTGAGAAAGACGTATGAAACACAGGGCAGGACTCAGCCTACACATAAAGCCATCTGCTAAACTAAAGCAATGAATCTACTTTACAATTTCTACTAGTCTGTGCCCCAGGCACATTAATCTTAACACAAATTCCATTAAAATATTAGAAATCAATTTACCTTCTTTTGGAGCAGGAATTTTGGAGTTGACTGATCTGCGTTTTTGTTTCTGAAAAACAAATGACCACAATATATTGCTTTTAACAATTCTCAAGGACATATCCTGGGCCCACATGCTGTTGAAGTCCCAGGCAGTCCTAGAAAACAAATGAGCMAAGAGCTACTAAATGAAGTGACTTCTCTATGACATTAGCTACAGTAAGATGATAGGCACCTACCTGGACTGTTACATTTTCCTGCAAGGGCAGGTTGTCCTTTAGGTGTAAGGGGAAAAGCTGTAAGAGTTCTGGGTTTATTGCAGCCACATCATCAAAATCAATCTGAAAGGAATAAGAAAGAGTTTCAGTAAAACAACATAATGTTCAATCCAAATACATCTTTGGGGGTTGGAGTTGTGTCTCAGTAGTAGAGCACTTGCCTAGCATGGGTGAGGCGCTGGGTTCAATTCTCAGCAAAACATAAAAATAAATAAATAAAATAAAGATATTGTGTCCATCTACAACTAAAAATATTAAAAAAAAATACATCTCTGCAACCAAATTACCCCTAGATTTAGATTTTTACCAACCTTAAGTTCCACTAAGTACTTATAGCTATAAAACAAATATTTATTCCTTAATAATGGTTTACCATCTAGATGGATATGGGTTTCTGATTTCCAAGCCAATGATATATATCAGTGATGTGAGGTGAGGAGGAAGGCAGATAGGCAGGCATACAGGTAGTCCACAGTAGACCTAGCCTACTTGACTCCCCTATTGTTCTGCTGGGCAGTGAGGTCCCATTGGACACTGTCCCCTAAGCACCTCTTGCTAGCTGACACAGAGGAAGAAACAAGTTTGAACTGTCTGGTGATAGTTAAAATGAAGGGCCCTTCAGGATCTCATTGGCAGGAACAAGTTTCTGACAGCTACAACCTAACCCTAAGTCTACCTACATTTTCTACTGAGCCCAGAAACTTCTTTCCTAGTCACAGCTTCCTGCTCATGCCTCCCCTAGTACCTGCTCATGCCTGCAATGAGGTCACAATTCTAGGTTTACATCAGGGTCCTGCAACACTTTAGAAACAACTCAAACTTTACCAGCATAATTTCACAGCAGATTCAAACACACAAGATTGGGCTGGGGGTGTAGCTCGATGGTAGAGTGTTTGCCTAGCATTTACAAGGCCCTGGGTGCAATCCCTAGCATCATAAAAGAAGAAAAAAGAAGTCTGGACTTTATTCTAATGGCAACATTTGAGCTGGAGTGAGATCCAACAAGAGATATATTCCTAAATGAACAAGAGACCACAAGGAACTTCTTATCACTGATTAAAAGGTATTTTAGGAGCCGGGAGTGGTGGTCACACCTGTAATCCCAGTGACTTGGGAGGCTGAGGCAGGAGGATCTCAAGATGGAGGCCAGCCTCAGCAACTTAGCAAGACCCTCAGCAACTTAATGTGGTGATACATGCTTGTAATCCCAACGACTCAGGAGGCTGAAGCAGGAGGATAGCAAGTTCGAGGCCAACCTTGGCAATTTAGCAAGACCCTGTCTCAAAATAAAAAGTAAAAAAGACAGGGGATATAGCTCAGTGGTAGAGCACCCCTGGGTTCGATCTCCAGGATTATTAAAAAAAAAAAAAAAAGAAGAAAGAAAGAAAGAAAGGAATTTTAGGACCCTTTTGCTCCCTTAGATATAGATACTAGGAATCCTTGTTCTCAAATAGACCAACTAAATATCTGCATACCTAGTGCATACCTATGCACTATTGCAAGCAAGCCTTTTCATTAAGCTCCACGAGCAATAGCCCAGAGATGTCTTATTTGTTTCTGTATTCCCAGCACCCAACACATGGTCTAGAATTTTGGAACTAGTCCAAAAGCATTTGCTTTATAAGTCCTCACAAGAACTCTGAAATACTCTCACTGCCTGCATTTTATGGATAAGGAAATTAAATTCCTTTTTTGGGGGGGATACTAGGGATTGAACTCAGGGATGCTCTACCACTAAGCTACATCCCCAGACATTTTTTTTTTTTGAGACAGGTCTTGCTAAAATGCTGAGGTTGGCCTTGAACTTGCAATCCTCATGCTTCAGCCTACTAAGTCACTTGGATTACAGTTGTGTGCCACCATGCCCAGAAGGAAATTAAATTTCTAAGAAAGACRGAAATATGCTTGAGAACACACAAAGCAGAGGCAGATTAGAATCCAGGTTTTTTATATTCACAGTCCAGTGAGCTTTTTACAGCACCAAATGCCTCTAGAGCATAAATGCCCAAGGTATATCTCTTTTCTCAAAATCATTTCAAGGCTTCTTGCTGCCTGCAGAATACCTAAACATCTTAGGTCCCAAAGATAAAGACCCTCCAGTCTCTCTAGCATTTTTTGCCGCTACCAAAGCATCCCTCAGCCCTACACTGTCTGTGACCAACTTTTCACTAAACCCTATGTGTGCTGCCTGGCTATTTTAGCTAAGCCTCATGCTCCACTCAAGCCAGCCCATTCTCAAGAGTCTCTACCTAAGCTGCTCCAGCACTACCAGCCTGTGCTAGGCATTAAAGTTGCCTTRTTAGTTAACATTTCAGAAACATACTTTTGTTTCTTTAAGATGGTTTTTCACCCAAACCAATACTATAGGTAGTGTGTACTCAGAACCTGGCTTAGGTTAGTTAGCAAGGTTTGGGATTAGCTATAGTTTGATTTCTACAAACACAACCCATGCTGTGGATTTCTTCAATTGAGAACATGTTTGACTAAATAAAATTCCAATTTGATGGGCACAGTAGTGCATGCTGGCCAGCCCAGGCAACTGAGTGAGACCCTGTCTCAAAATAAAAAGGCTGAGGATGTAGCTCAGTGGTATAATGCTTACCTGGCATGCATACATCCCTGGGTTTGATACCCAGTACTAGAACACCTTTTTATATCCCAATGCATCCCAAGAGGGATTTTTTTTTTTTTTTTTTTTTTTTAAAGAGTGAGGAGGATGGGGCTGGGGATGTGGCTCAAGCGGTAGCGCGCTCGCCTGGCATGCATGCGGCCCGGGTTCGATCCTCAGCACCACATACCAACAAAGATGTTGTGTCCGCCGAGAACTAAAAAAAAATAAATGTTAAAAAAAAATTCTCTAAAAAAAAGAGTGAGGAGGATAGCACAACACCAGAAACTAGGGTCTCACGGGTCCCATTTCCACACTGATCCTTTGCATATAAAGGTATTAAATGTGGTAGAAGAACCTACCACATAGAACCTACCTCTTTGCCTTTTGTGGTACTTCCTTCTGTCCATTCCACTGAAACACAGGATTTCTCCAGGTTCACAGTCCTTACTGTGGCACTGTGAATTAAGCCTACAGTATGAAAAGACCAGAGTTACTTGTCTTCTGAGAACTTCATTTTTCGGCTCCCACAGAGACTCCTAGTGTGGAGTTTACCTGGTAAAAGCAGATGAGTTTTTTTTTCTTTTTTAAAACCAGACACTAAGAGAGACACTATGGGGCTTCACCCTTAGAACATTCCACAGTGTGGTGAGCAGAGAATAGATCTTAAATCCAGCTGTGGGGCTGAGCCCTAGGTTTGATTACCAGCACCACAAAACAAACAAAACAAAACAAATAAAAACACTCCAGCTGAATGGGATAAGGATTCACACCTACGCCAAAAATTAAAAAGAGCCTGCGATGGAATGAAGGTATGTTTAAGTAAGAGTCATATAGTCCTTAGTTGCGCTGTTCTTAATCACAACACTGAGAATCTGGAACTTGGAGGTGTCCATAACTCATTTCTGACGATCACGTCTGGCCATTCTCCTAACATTAGTGTTAGATCTGCCAGAGCTGTAGTACCTGCTTAACCAAAACAAAGGAACGGATTACCAGCTCCTCAAGAGCAGGGATCTTGTCTCGTTTACCTTGAATCACATACTGCAACTACACAATATTTATTGAAAAATCGGAGGGGCTAGGAAGCAGAGGTTCCCACAAAGGCAGGGCAGTTTCATAAGAGAATTTTGGAAGGGAAGTTATTCTAGCAGCCCTAACTTCCCTGGGAGGTCCGAAGACCACTAAGAAACTCCGCCCACTCTCAGAAAGAAGGAAAGGGTTCCACAACCAGTGTAGAAGCTCTATCCCTGGATAGGAACGGCCGACTGGCAGCCTGRGGATACGGACTGTGGGTGTAGCGGGTCTAAGGATCACCGGCCGAGTCTGGGATCTGTCGTTTGGGGGCGGGGCAGTAACCTCAGCCCTCACATCGCTCACTGGTCCCTTTAGCCTCCGCACCCCCCACCCCCTTACCATTGCTGCGTTGGATATTGATGGAAAGACCGGGAAACAAGCGGCCCTGATATGATGAGTCCATGGGCATTCGGAGGTCGGCGGCGAAGAAAAAGCAGATTCCCAAAAGTACACAACTCTGCGACGTAAACCGCCGCAGTTTAAATCCCGCGCGCCAGCGTCCCTGGTAACGTCATCACGCTGTCGCCGTTCTYGCTTCCGCCAATAAGCGGCGCCCTGTGGAGTAGCCTTGTGGAATAGTCGGACGCACAGGACCGCCCATTCGTCTGGCCACACCCCGCGCGCTGTGCCTGCTGGGAACTTCGCCAGGCCAGCGAATTGGAAGCTCTGTGTTCCCGGTTTAATTCCGGGTTCCGTTCTTCGTTGTTAGGGTTCCCCAAACGGGGAAACTTCTGTATGTGTTTGACTGAGGGTTCTGGGGTTTTACAGACCTGGGTTCAAATCTTAGTTTCTTCAGTTACAAGTTCGGTGATCCGAGAAGTTAGAAGTTTGACTCTTGACTTCCTGTTTTGCACAAGGGGCATGTATGCTTTCCCCAGTGGAGAAGTTAGATGTAAATTTTCGAAAACAATGACTTACATATTTATTGAGTGCCTACCATGTGGTATGCTTGATTCTAGACTAGAGATAGTAGTAGTGAACAAGGTACATAGTTCCTATCCTTGATCTAATGATTTTGATAAGAACGGAGGGCAGAAAGAAGTAACAAGTGTTAAATAAAATTAATAAGAATCCTTTGGTTTGGACTGAGCTCTAGCACCGGCCCCGCTGGCCAAACTAAAATTCCCTGGGGTGTTAGGGTGGTAAAACGCTGGCCTAGCTTGTCTGAGGCCTTAGGTTCAGTCCCCAGCAACACACACAATCTCTTGGAGAAATCAGAAGTGAGAGATAATAGCAAAATTCTCAAACAAGCGAGTTTTAGCGGAAGGAGTTTCCTTCTCTTTAACCTTTACAAGGGAAAGTGAGATTGAAACAATGCAATTCTTGTTCTTTCTGATTTCCTCAGTTTTCTCTGCCTAGCCCCTCTACTTAGCTCAAACATATTACGGGGTGAGGTGTTGCTTGACTCTAGAATAAAAAGTAAAAGCCAATTAAGATTAGTTTTGTTTAATTACTTTTGAGTCTGGATCTTACCTATGTTTTGCCCAGGCAGGTCTCTGTCCTCTAACTTAAGCCCAAATAACTGGGATCATAGGTGTGCCACACTGCACCCAGCCCAAGTAATATCTTTAAATTAAATCTTTTTTTCTTTCTTGTGTGTGTGTGTGTGTGTGTGTGTGTTTGGTGTGAGTGTGACAGAGAGAGAGAGAGAGAGATACTGGGGATTGGATTTAGGCCTGATTACTTGGGAGACTGAGGCAGGAGAATCACAAGTTGTAGGCCAGCTGGGCAACTTAGAATCTGTCTCAAAATAAAGGATTGGGGGGGCTGGGGATGTGGCTCAAGCGGTAGTGCGCTCGCCTGGCATGCGTGCGGCCGGGTTCAATCCTCAGCACCACATATAAACAAAGATGTTGTGTCCGCCGAAAATTAAAAAATAAATATTWAAAAAAAATTAAGGATTGGTGATATAACTCAGTGGTATCTTTCTTGGATAGCATGCAGGAGACCCTGGGTTCAATTCCTAGTGCCTCACACAAATTTTTGCAGTGATATTTAACCTAAGCCTAGAGACACCCATGCCAAAATGGACAGGAAGGAATAGAGAGCCCTCCAGGCTAAGAACTGAGAATAAATAATATATGCAAAATCGGGCTGGGGATGTGGCTCAAGAGGTAGCGCGCTCGCCTGGCATGCGTGCGACCMGGGTTCGATCCTCAGCACCACATACCAACAAAGATGTTGTGTCCGCCGAGAACTAAAAAAATAAATAAATAAATTTCTCTCTCTCTCTCTCTCTCTCTCTCTCTCTCCTCTCTCACTCTCTCTTTTAAAAAAAAATATATGCAAAATCCATGAAATATGAAAGAACTTGGTGTTTGAAGAATTAAAATAAGCCAGTGTGGCTGGAAGGTAATGGGTAAAGGAGGAAGGAGCATGAGATGAAGTCTAAGGGGTGAGTTGGGTGAGACCATTTAGCATCTTGTAACTTAATATAATAATTTTGGCTTTTATTCTAAAGAGAAATTATTAAGGAATTTTAGACAGGAAAGTGACAAGATCTCTGACTTCCCAAATTGACTTCCATTAAGATTTATCTCCCAAGTCAGATTTTACTGTATGTCGATCAGGCTTGCTGCTGTGTGGGTAGCAGATTTGAAGGAAACAARACTGGAAGTGAGAAGACCATTTTGTAGGCAAGAGATTATGTTGGCTTAGCCTAGGTCAGTGACAATGGCAATGTAGCTACAAGGATGGATGGATTCAAGGTGCATTTTTGTGAGTTGGGCACAGTGGCACATGCCTATAATCCTAAATACTTGGGAGTTTAACTTCTGAGGGGCAGGAGAATTGCAAATTCAAGGGCCAGCCTGGGCAATTTATTTATTATAACTTTTCTTTTTTTGGTACTGGAGATTGAACCCAGAGGCACTTTGCCAGTGACCTACATACCCAGCCATTTTTAATTTTAACTTTGATACTTGATACTTTCTAGTTGCTGAGGCGCCATCCTCTTGCCTCAGTCTCCTGAGCCACTGGGATTATAGACATGTGCCACCATACCCAGCTCAGCCTGGGTAATTTAGTGAGACCCTATTTCAAAATAAAAACTAAAAAGGGCTGGGGATGTAACTCACCACTACCAGAACAAAGAAATTGGGTATTTGGGAGGTGGAGTGATGAGTCTTGTGTTGGATSTGACGAATGAGGAATAGAGCTGGGGTTGTGGCTCAGTGATAGAGCACTTGTGGAGCATGTGGGAGGCACTGGGTTGATCCTGGTACCACATGAAAACAAACAAAGGTATTTTGTCCATCTACAACTAAAAAATAATTAAGAAAAAAAAAGAATGACGGATAATCATGACTTMTGGTTTCTGGCTAGAGAAACTGTGTGGATGATGAGCCATTTATGAAATAGTGGAGTGGGGTTATAAAAGAAAGAAGTAAATCAAGGGTTTTATTTTGTACATGTTAAGTCTGTGATGTCTGAGTCATTTGAGTGGAGGACTCAAGTCAGCAATTGAATATACAAACTAGAAGCCCAGGGAGAGGTTAGAGACAGATTTGGCAGTCAGCATTTTGTAGATGTTGGAGTCATTAAACTGAATGAGATCTCTTAGGAAGAGGGTTTAGATAGAGATGAGAAGAACAAAATTGAACCATGGGACATGTTGACATTTTGAGATAGGACAAGGGAGGAGAAGCCAGCAAAGGAGATTAGATTAGGGTGGTTTAAAGGAATGAGGAAAATCAGGGGGTGGGGGATCTTGGAAGCCAATGGGGGGAATAAAGGAGGAAGCAACTGTAGAGCTGCTCTGAAGTCAACTTAGAAGAGGACACAAAAGTGTCCTTTGAATTTGCTAGCATCTGAGTCAATGGTGACTTTGAACAGCCCTGGTGAAGTGTTGAAGATGAGAGCCAGATGACAGAGAAAAATTAATGGATAATTATGTAATAAAGGAATAAAGATATGTGTAAACATTTAAGATTCAGGAGTTAGACTTAGTGTCATATGCCTATAATCCTAGCAATTTAGGAGGCTAAGGCAAGAGGATCACAAGTTCAAGACCCGCCTCAACAATTTGCTGAGCCCCTCAGCAACTTAACAAGACCCTGTCTCAAAAAAAAAAAAAGTGTGGGGGAGGGGCTGCTGGGGATATAAATCAATGGTTCAAAAGATTCAGAAGAGTGGTTGACTTTTGGCAGATAGGTTAGTGTGATCGGAAAGGAGAATTCTGACTAATAGATATTTTAATTTATTTTTAGTGCTTTAACCAAGAACCTCATGCATGCTAAGCACATACTCTAGTACTAAGCTACACCCCGAGCCCTGATATTTTGTTTTATTTTTGTAGTGTTAAAGAACAGACCCAGCCGGGCATGGTGACAGTCACCTGTAATCCCAGTGGCTCAGGAGGCTGAGGCAGGAGGATCGTAAATTCAAAGCCAGCCTTAGCAACTTAGAGAATCCCTAAGCAACTGAGTGAGACCCTATCTCTATGTAAAATACAAAATAGGGCTGGGGATGTGGCTCAATGTGAGTTCAATCCCTGGTACCCAAAAAAAACCAAACCAAAACAAAACAAAAAAAACCTCAGGGCCTCACACATGCTAGACAAGCACTGTACCATTCAGCTACATCCCCAGTCCTCAAACTAAATTCCACTCAGCTCATTGGAATACTTATTCTATTTTATGAAGTGATATGTTGTCCAATTCCAGAATTATAACTGACATCATTTTTTWAAAATTTTTTTTGTAGTTGGACACAATACCTATTTTTTATTCATTTATTATTAAGTGGTACTGAGGATTGAACCCCAGGGCCTCACATGTGCTAGGCGAGCACTCTAATGCTGAGCCACAACCCAAGCATCCAGTTGACATCTTTTCTTCCTGAGTTTCAGCAATCCCCCTGCCTCAGCCCCAAGTATCTGGAACTGCAGGCATGGGCCATGATGTCTGGCTTGCAATTGACTTTTTTTTTATACAATAGATATTTTATTTTTTATTAAATTATTTAATTATTCTTATTTGCTATACATGATGGCAGAATGCAGTTCATTTCATGTTACACATATAAAGCACCATTTTTCAAGTCACTGATTGTACACAAAATATTTTCACACCTTTTGTGTCTTCCTTCATGTACTCAGGGTATTGATGTATAACTCATTTCACCATCATTCCTACCCACTTACCCCCTATCTTCCCCTCCCTCCCCTTTTCCCTATCTAAAGTTCCTTCATTCCTCCCATGCTCCCCCTCCATCACCATTATGAGTCAGCATCCTCATATCAAAGAAAAATTTGGCCTTTGGTTTTGGGGGATTGGCTTGCTTCACTTAGCATTATATTCTCCATCTCCATCCATTTACCTGCAAATGCCATGATTTTATTCTCTTTTAATGCTGAGTAATGTTCCATTGTGTATATATAACGAATTTTCCCTATCCATTCATCTACTG